ACAAGGGAGAGGGCTGCCAGATGCAATATCCAGGAGGCCTTCATTAGGGCAGTGTCACAGCTGACTTAAATCTCTTGCTCTGGGACACTCTTCAAGACAGCCAGGTGAGCTGGTAGCAGGAGTGGACTGACAACTCATGGGGCCCCCTGGCAATAGGGGATCATGGGGCCCCTGTGTCCTTGCCCAAACTCAAAAAAGCCTATGAAAAATGGTACCAGGGGCATCTCATGGGGCCCCCTACTGACCCCGGGCCCTCAGGCAGTGCCCGAGTTTCCAAATGGTCAGTCCGCCCCTGGCTGGTAGTATTACTAACTTGAGCTTTGAGAGTTCATTCAAGGGGACTTAGTGATCCTCAGTAACATTGCTATGGATCCTTAAAGGGTCTGATACCACTCCGGAGGGAGTAACGTCCGGGATCCATTCACCTTCCACATAGTGTATGAAGTTTTGCCCCCAAGTTGTTTCACCAAATCAAGTTGGTCATTCCTCAATAAAACAACAAAAACAACCCCATGGACTGGTCATTGTCTCTGGGAGAAAAGGTGACTGTGTAGAAATAGGGGGACCTAAACCTCAGAGGCTCCAAGAGGGTAGAGCTGCTATAGTATCAGCCACATGACCAGACAAACAACAAGGTGCAACTTGGTAAACTGAGCGTCCAGATGGAGTAAATGGTATGCAATCAGTATTGAACACAGTATAGAACCAACTATGGTAATTGGAGTGCTTGGAGTAGTTCTCACACTTGACCATTAGGTGGCAGTAAAATATAACAGATTCCTAGAGAACAGGGAAATTCACTTGCTAAACAAAAGGTGCAATGCAGTCAGTAAAAAATGCAGTTATTTGTGGTCCCCTAGGTAAGGGGTGTAACTAGGAGGCAGGCTGTAGGTGATAGTTCAGGTAATTGGTGGTTAGGATCTCCAAGCTGGCTCCACAGGGGTATGGCTGGAGAAGTCTTCGATCTAGAGGTTCAAGTAGTCAAAGTCCATGCCACCCCATAGGAAGGGCAATGCTCCAAAGTCAAGTCTGCTGGCAAAGTGTTCACCATAGTGACTGGGACCTAACCAGAAGCAGCGGCTCTCCACCAGCAACCTGCTCGCCAGACATAGGAATGAAGCACCCAACACCTGGTTACAGCTCATGCGCCCAGTCACTGTTGTCCCACGAGGCAGGGTCTCCATGAGGAACAAATGGCAGGAAGAGCTGGAACTTATATCTTCTGAGAGTGGCCAAATGGGAGCCCAGGGGTTGTTTGGGAACAGAGCAGGGATGGGCTGACCATTTGGGCCCTTGTGCACTGCCTGAGGGCCGGGTCAGTAGGGGGCTCCATGAGATGCCCCTGGTACCTTTCATAGGCTTTTTTGGGTGTGATTTGAGTGTGGGAAAAGAATACAGGGGCCCCATGATTTCCTATTGCCCAGGGGCCCCATGAGTTATCAGTCCACCCCTGGAACAGAGTTATAGGAGCCTGTGTCTCCTCCTGAGGCAGGCAAGTAAAGGGACACTACACTACAATTTCCCAACTAGGAGCATTTCAGGCAGTCTCTGCAGCCTCAACAACAGGTTTGAAATGTATTTGTGTCCCCTGTACCTGTATTCCTGGGTGGCCAACTTCGAAAGTTTGCGAAGGTTCGTGATGGATTTATCTCTGTGGATTAGACAGACTTTCGCTCGTTGTCCCCAGTGACCAGTCTAGGGGATGTTGGTTTTGTAGATTTATTGTAGAACTGGGGATAGGGATGGGGAATTTTTAGTAGGATACTCCAAAATTAGAACTATTCACAACTGAGGACATCGAACTGATCTCTTAGGGAAGCACTGTTGAGGTTCTTTGGTGGAAGCAGATTGCAGACTTCTCTTTGGTGATAGTTACAAGTAGTTTAGGAGTGAGGAAAGTCCCTTAGCAGTGGTAGTAGTAGCAGGGCTGAGCTCCTCGGGGGCAGGCCAGTTACGGCAGACTGTGGTAGTCCAAAAGTAACTGAGCAAAGTCCTTTGCAGCAGCAACAGTTTTACAAGCTCTTCGGAACAGTAGTCAGTGTTTGCTTTGACAGACCCAAGCACCAGAGGGGTAGCAAAAGCACTCAGATTCTCCAAGAACCTTCAGCGCCTTTACTCACAAGGTCCAAGGACAGAATGGTGGCCTCCTTCCAATTTTCCAAGCGACACCCTCCAGTGATACCAGACAGATCTTTGGCAGACAGCTCCCCTCAGTCAGCATCTGAAGAACCGGGGTCACCCCCTCTCCAACTTTGTCCACCTGAGGCTGCATGGTGCCAGGCGAGGCAAGCTTGCTTCCAGTCTGACTTGATACAATCCACTCCCTGGGAAAGACACAGAGCTCAATGGGCTCTGTAAATACATACCCCTCTCCCAGAATGCTTCAGGGCAAAATTCCCCGTGGTTGGCTGGGATGGTTTTAATATTCACACTGTGATCTGCATAGGTTCCTCCTATCCATCCAGAACCTTCCTAGGTTGCCTGGATACAGGGGACACCTAGAAGCAGAACCAAACAGTACCAGAGCACACTGAGCAGCCCTTACATGTCCATCATCACTGCTCTCTGTTAAGCAGAGAGCCAAGCTAGATTTTCCTATCGGGACTCTCTGTTAAGCAGAAAAACACAACTATACTACCCAGTGGTGCATTTAGGTTTCGTGCTGCCCTTGGCAACACAAAAATCGGTCCCCCCCTACCATCACCACAGAGAGACCCTGACACCAACCAACACCCCCCTCCCCTCCCACATGAAGAGAGCCTGACATTGACCAACAACACCCCAGCCCCCACCCAAGAAAGCCTTCCACTACCACTGTCTCCCATACACTGGCAACCCCCACCCACCCTGGCAAGAGATAGACACTCATCTTCACAGCTCCGGACATCCCCGGGCACAAGAGCCAGGCTCTGCATACAACATCAAGAAGCCCACAGCCTCTCTCAGATCCCACCTGGTCCCCATGATGTGTGTGTCCCTTCTTCCATTCCCTTCTTTCAAGGGGCACCACTGTCCCCCTGAAAAATGCTGCCCTAGGCAAATGCCTTGTTTGCCTTGTGGTAAATACAGCCCTGATACTACCCTAACTGTACAATTCCTAGCACCTTTCTAGGAGGGTGCTACACTGGCTAAGGTACAAAAAATGGAGGAGCAGCTGCTAGGAGAGCGGTGAATGGGAAGAGACAGCCATGGAGGACTTCCGTTTGTGGTGGTATGAGAACATTGGTATGAGAGACACATTTTCCCCTCTGTTGGCCCCAGCATGGGTCTGTGAAGTAGACCTCAGGGTGAATGACTGTGAGAGTGACTATGTAGAGAGTCAGACCAGTGCGGGACAAGGTCATCTAGCTACCAGGGTGAAGATTCTAAACAGCACCCCCCCCCCCAAAATGTATGTGCATAATGTGTCAGCAAAATCCCACCCCCCCAAAAAAAAAAATTCAAGCACTATTGGGGGGCTATAGAGGGCTGAAGATTGCAGCACCAGAGATACCACTGGCTGTCAGATTGTGCGGTGTTTGCTTACCCACCTCCTACCCATGTTCTTTGCTGGAAGAAGATGGGGCCAGATAAACAAACACTGCATAGTGGCAGCCCCGATCCAGGAGAGCTGTAGTGGCAGGAGAAGGAGCTGAAGGGGAGAGAGAGCACAACCCATCCCTCCTCCCAGCTCTCCCCTCCTCTCTAGGTCTGGCTTGTCTCCTCCAGCACTAAGCTGACAGGAGTAGTGAAACTGCCATCACTACTCTGGGCACCTTGTAGGTAGGAACTCTCTATGTGGTCCACCCCCCATTTAATATGATACCACCGAGCCCAGGGCAGCTGCCCTTCCCACCCACCCCTTGTCTCGGCCCTGACCCAGACTCAGAATTCTGGCAGAAAACCCCTCTATGCCAGATTGTGTTGCTTCTTAAGGAATGGATTACGATGCCATCAGCTTGACTTTGTATATTATTGGATGTTAAGGAAAGCATGCAGAAAACCAAGTGCCAGGCTGGATAACTGGGTGAGCTGGGATGAGTGCTGTGCCCAATCTGAGTAGGGCTTAGCATACCCTGAAGGGTCTCTGTGACAAGAGTGACTTTGGTTGGGGGCCCATGGAACCCAGCTCACTTTGGAGGGGTGGGGAGACTCCTGTCTCAGCTCCCCATATCCCTCTTATGTGTAAGTGACCCTGTGCCTGTTAGGGGTACAGGGTGATCTGTCCTAATATTGTGTAGACATGTCTAGGTGGGGTGGGGGTTGGTCATTGTTTACTGCCATGGGGCTGCATCCCATTGTTCTGTGTGTCTTGCTTGGGAGCAAACTATTATGGAATGTATGTGTTTTTGTATTGGCTTGGTGGGGGGTGTCTGCTGATGTGTCTCTGGTTGCTAGATGTGGTTTGCCCCGCCCTGTGTCCATATGCAGGGAGGGGGGATTATTCCCTTGAATGTTTATATCTTGTGTCTGTGTTAAAATAAAGCAGTCTATTTCCTGGTTTCGTTCAAGAGTGGTGTCCATGGATCTGTGTTCGGACAGGGAAGCGGGAGTCTAACGGAAATACCCTAGTGCAGTCGGGGTCCGGTTCCGTTACAGTCTCTAATATAACTTGAGTAGGAGACCGGTAATTCATCCTGGAGGGCCTGTGGTCACAAGACAACAACCAGGTACCTAGTGGGTAAGGAGGAATGGTAGCCCAAACCAATCGTGTTTCACTCAGGAGTCCCCCCTGGTGTGGGAACTGGCTTAGCATACCACCGCCAATGGTTCCGCCAACAAATATCTGCTTTTCTCACAAACATTTGAGGAACAGCACATAAAAAGATTGTAAACAGCTACAAGATATTTGTCCCGATTTATTACTTCTCGAAATGCAGTCAAAATATGTACTTTGATCTGTGGATATTTTCTCACCTAGGTCCGTTTTCGGAACGATGTCTAATCAAACGGCAGTGTCAGAAGTTATATTAGTTGGATTCCCGGGGCTTCCTAATGCCTTCCATGGCTTGGTATCCATCATGATGTTCGTTACCTACATGATATCGCTGACTACTAACGGCACCGTCATATGTTTGGTCACCTTTAATGAACATCTGCATCAGCCCATGTACCTGTTCATAGCCAACCTTGCCACCTCTGATCTTTTATTTGACACCGTGACATTACCGAAACTCATCGCCAGATATTTGTTTGGAGCTTCCACCATTCCTTTGAGAATGTGCTTCTTCCAGATGTTCTTGGGTCATTATTTTGGAAGTATGGATGCATTTCTGTTGATGCTGATGGCTGCAGATCGATATGTGGCCATCTGCCACCCACTGAGATACACCTCCATTGTCACCAATAAAGTGGTCACCGTTTCCTGTGGCATCTGTTGGATGATTTTGTCTCCTTCTGCAATTTCAATGATTACCATTCTAGCGTCACAGATCCCCCTGTGTGGCCCCAACACGATAAATAGTTTGTTCTGTAGCTATTCAGCGCACGCAGCTTTAGCATGTGCTGATATTTCCCGCCCAAGAAAGGTGGTCTTTGTCACTGCCTTGGTCATTCTTCTAGTGCCACTGGGGCTGATATTAGCCTCATATACCAAAATAGTAGTGGCCATCTCAATGACTCACGCTGAGAACCTCCAGAAAGCATTTTACACCTGTGTGACCCATTTGCTGGTCATCGCTTTGTATTTTACTCCTCGAATCTTTGTGTACATTGTAACAAATATTCCCTTTGTTACAATAAAACCTGATGCAAGTGCTCTTTTGCTTTATCTCTACTCATTTGTACCTCACATGGCCAATCCAATTGTGTATTTCCTTCGAACCAAGGAAATCAAACAAACTTTGAGACGGGCCCTTCAGAGAAATACATTTAGAGAGAAAAATGGTGTCAGGACCTGGATCACCTGCTGATGGCACTGTGGTTCCCAGGGCGGAAGGGGGTAGTTCCAGTATCCACCAGAGGGTGTCTCCTAAAAGCAAGCAGATCCCAGTCTTTACCTGATGTTGACAACCAACCAGTTACCGAACCCTGGAGATGAGGTATCCTGCAAATTGAAGGACTTTGTTAAAAAGAAGACCGACATGTCTTCAGATATTGATGAGAGGCCTTCTTTACAGACTTATTCAGGACAGGAGTCTCTCATATGGACTTTTTTGATCAAAGCAAGGTGAAGCTTCTGGAGGCCACTCTTTAAAGCGATATTAAAGTCTTTTTTTTTTTAGTAACAAACATGTTATACTTACCTGCTCTGTGCATCCTCTTACCTCCTCTTCTTGGGTCCCCTGCTGGTGCTCCTGGTCCTACCCTCCTGCTGAGAGCCCCTAATTTGCACAGAGCATCCTCTTACCTCCTCTTCTTGGGTCCCCTGCTGGTGCTTTTGGCCCTACCCTCCTGCTGAGAGCCCCAAATTTGCACAGAGTATCCTCTTACCTCCTCTTCTTGGGTCCCCTGCTGGTGCTCCTGGTCCTACCCTCCTGCTGAGAGCCCCTAATTTGCACAGAGAATCCTCTTACCTCCTCTTCTTGGGTCCCCTGCTGGTGCTCCTGGTCCTACCCTCCTGCTGAGAGCCCCTAATTTGCACAGAGCATCCTCTTACCTCCTCTTCTTGGGTCCCCTGCTGGTGCTCCTGGTCCTACCCTCCTGCTGAGAGCCCCTAATTTGCACAGAGCATCCTCTTACCTCCTCTTCTTGGGTCCCCTGCTGGTGCTCCTGGTCCTACCCTCCTGCTGAGAGCCCCTAATTTGCACAGAGCATCCTCTTACCTCCTCTTCTTGGGTCCCCTGCTGGTGCTTCTGGCCCTATGCTCCTGCTGAGTGCCCCTTAGAGTAAGCAGCTTGCTATGGGGGCACCCAATCAGGCTTGGGAGCTAGCCACTGTGTCCATTGGCTTACTGGCTGTAATTGACAGCTGCGGGAGCCAATGGCATCTGGTGCTGTCTCAGCCAATGAGGAGAGAGAGTTTCCGAACAGCCAAGACTCTCATGGTGGAGCTGCACACAAAAGGTTTTTTTTACCTTCATGTATAAAATGAATGCCTTCTGCCAGTACAGCCACTTTAAGGGGGGAACAGTCAGGACCTGGATCACCTGCAGGTGGCACTGTGGTTCTTAAGAGCTGAAGAGTGCAGCTCCAGTGTCTTCCTGTGGGTGTCTCCCCAGTAACCAGCAGATCCCAGTAATCAGCCTAATGCTGGCCGCTGTGAAGGTACATAGCCCCTTCCCTAGCTTTTTCTCAGTGCCTCATTGTTTTGCCTCTGTGCCTTATACCTGGTTGTTTGCTCTGTTCCTGATTCTGCTTCCAGCTGTGATCCTGTTCCTTATCCAGTACCTGCATCTTATACCTTGCTACCTCACATCTGCTCCCTTTGTTCCTTGTCCCAGTTCTGATTCCCTTTCTGATCCTTCTCCCTGGTTGTCCCTTGCATCTTCTGTCCTACCCTGCATCTTCGTGTTCTCCCTCGATTGGTATACATTGTATGATAGTTAGGTTGCTGGTTAGGTATTTTGTCACGTAGTTCATTGTTCAGATGTATGTTCACTCTTGCCTTGTATACTGTTTCCTGGTATTAGATTTGTTTTGCTTTATTATTAATAAATCGTATTTTAATTGCACACAACCTGGTCCCAGGTATCGGGATCCTAACATAACACTGAGTCCAGATTAACTGCGTTTGGGAACTTGGAGATATCTGACCATAGTGTCTGCTGTCCTTATTGGTAAGATGCGTCCAGAGGAAGGGATTGGCAACTGAGGATAAAGATCTTTGCTGCCAGGCTCTGCAGGGTTTCACTAGTGAGTACATTCAGGTGGTGCACTCCTGAGTAGTCTACCAGGGCAGGTTTCAGCCTTGTTCTGAACCAGCATGGCCATGATGATCCCCCCCAACCTTTAGTATACACTATATTCCCAAAAGTATTGTCCCTGACCTCCCAATCATGTGACTCAGGTGTTCCAATCCCCTCCCAATCATGTGATTCAGGTGTCCCAATCCCCTCCATATCATGTGATTCAGGTGTCCCAATCCCCTCCATGGACACAGGTGTATACAATCAAGCCCCTAGGCATGCAGACTGCTTCTACAAACATTGGTGAAAGAATGGGTCGCTCTCAGGAGCTCAGTGACTCCAAGCGTGGTCCCGTGATAGGTGGCCACCTGGGCAATAAGTCCATCCGTGACATTTCCTGGCTACTAAATATTCCACGCTCCACTGTTAGTGGGATTATAACAAAGTGGAAGCAACTGAAAAACACAGCCACTCAGCCACCAAGTGGTAGGCCACGTCACATGACAGGGCGGGGTCAGCGCATGCTGAAGCGCACAGTGCACAGAAGTCGCCAACTGTCTGCAGAGTCAATAGCTAAAGACCTCCAAACTTGGTGTGGCCTTCAGATGAGCCCAACAACAGTGCGTAGAGAGCTTCATGGAATGGGTTTCAATGGCCGAGCAGCTGCATCCAAGCCTTCCATCACCAAGTGCAATGCAAAGCGTAGGATGCAGTGGTGTAAAGCACGCCACCACTGGACACTAGAGCAGTGGAGACGTGTTCTCTGGAGTGACCAAACACGCTTCTGTCTGGCAATCTGATGGACGTGTCTGGGTTTGGTGGTTGCCAGGAGAATGGTACTTGTCTGACTGCATTGTGCCAAGTGTAAAGTTTGGTGGAGGAGAGATTATGGTGTGGGGTTTGTTTTTCAGGGATTGGACTTGGCCCCCTAGTTCCAGTGAAGGGAACTCTTAAGGTGACATTTTGGACAATTTCATGCCCCCAACTTTGTGGGAAGAGTTTGGGGATGGCCCCTTCCTGTTCCAACATGACTGCGCACCAGTGCACAAAGCAAGGTCCATAAAGACATGGAGGAGCCAGTTTGGGGTGGAGGAACTTGACTGTCCTGCACAGAGTCCTGACCTCAACCCCATAGAACACCTTTGGGATGAATTAGAGCGGAGACTGTGAGCCAGGCCTCCTCCCCCGACATCATTGCCTGACCTGACAAATGTTCTTCTGGAAGAATGGTCCAACCTTCCCATAGACACCCTCCTAAACTTTGTGGACGGCCTTCCCAGAAGCGTTGAAGCTGTTATAGCTGCAAAGGGCGGGGCCAACTGAATATTGAACCCTAGGGACTAAGACTGGGGGGCCATTAAAGGTCATGTGTGTGGAAAGGGCGGGGCCAACTCAATATTGAACCCTACGGACTAAGACTGGGGGGGCCATTAAAGGTCATGTGTGTGGAAAGGGCGGGGCCAACTCAATATTGAACCCTACGGACTAAGACCGGGGGGGCCATTAAAGGTCATGTGTGTGGAAAGGGCGGGGCCAACTCAATATTGAACCCTACGGACTAAGACCGGGAGGCCATTAAAGATCATGTGCGTGGAAAGGGCGGGGCCAACTCAATATTGAACCCTCCGGACTAAGACTGGGAGGCCATTAAAGGTCATGTGCGTGGAAAGGGCGGGGCCAACTCAATATTGAACCTTACGGACTAAGACTGGGGGGCCATTAAAGGTCATGTGTGTGGAAAGGCCGGCAGCCCAATACTGCGGGCAATATAGTGTATACTGGAATTTTATACCAGCATTGACGGTGATCAGCGACTGATAGCGGGACTGTGATATTTCGGCAGACATTTTTGCACTGACACTTTGTGGAAACAAGAGACAATAATACACTGATTACTGTACTAATGACACTGGTTGGGACGGGGTTAACACCTAGGATGATCAAAGGGTTAAGTGTGTTCCTAGCTATGCGCTTGGTAAACAGTAGATGGCGCTGGTACAAGGGGAAGTGCTGGATCATGTTCCCAGCTCTACAGGGACGCACGATCGATTACTCCCCCACCCTCCCGCCACAACAGAAACACAGGCACAGCTCTGTTCTTCCTCCCTGACTGACAATCTGCAGGTGCCGGTGAGGAGCCATTCTCCGGGACTTACAGATCGGTTTCTGCTGTGACGGTTCACAGAAGAAGAGATCCTGCTATAGGGCGGTGGGCAAGTGGATATATCAAAATGCAAAGATGGCAGCAAAAAGGTGGTGGAGCATTTGTATGGACCTCTGGGACACTAAACATTCAGTGACGTTTATTTGATACTCACGTCAACAAGCAGTGAGGTTCCCGGTTGCTGTTGGACTTGTAGGTAGAAGGAAGGAGTGAAGGTACCTTAATGCCCTGTGTTAGAGCACCATCTAGTGGCGATTCCACAGAAAGGTGATGGTCTGGAGGTTCCGGTGTGGTAGAAGTTGAAGGATAAGTCCCCCCCTGAAATTCTAGGTCCCCTATGTACCAAAATACCATTTATGTACTTCTTCTGCAGAAGTCCTCACCTCAGCGTCCAGCTGACCTCATTAGTACACCCCCTTCATCATCTCGCCTACTACTCCAGGAGATCGCTGCACACAGCAGCTCAGATCCTCCTCTTCTAAGGCCCCCTCCCTCCTGTCGGGGGCCCCCACAGCAAGCAGCTTGCAACGGGGGCACCCACTGTTCCATTCCCACACGGAGCAGCGGCTCGGCCCCGCCCCCTCTCTCTCCTCATTGGCTCACTGGCTGTGATTGACAGCAGGGGGAGGCAATGAGAAGAGGGAGCCCCAGGATAGCCGAGACTCCAGTGCACATTGCTGGATCCAGAGGGGGCTTAGGTGAGTGCTGGGGGGAGGGGATGCTGTACACAGGAGGTTGCGTTCTATAAAACCTTGAACCTTCAGAACCACTTGAACTACTCGCCATCTGGTGGTTGTATGAAAATGTCCAGACAGATCCTTCCCGGGAATGGGAGGCCGTCCTAAACTCCTCTCACCCTTGTGGTGCTCATACCTGCCCTCTACAACACGCATGGGCATGGTCTGTGATCACTGTGTCCATTGGATGCTACAGATCGCCAAGCAAGGTACAGAGCCCATGAA